AAGTTAAATCATGAAGAACTGCAAATCATTTTAAAATCTTCTTTTCTAAATCTTTGCTGCTTTGCGTAAAACAAAGATGTGTTCAAATACGAATGAGGCACAGTGCACTGAGCGCAGGTTCCACATGGTACCTCTGAAGGCATATTTTCTGGTCCATTAAACAGCGTTCTTCTCCACCTTATCTTCCGACGCTAAAAATAACCCTGCCCTTGGCGATGTTGTGACTGACAGCGTCGTGTCTGCGATCTTAGACAGCATTGGCTGCAGGTAAGTGTGGGGCCTAATTGTTCCACCCAGCCTGGCCCAATCTCTGCACTAATCTACAGTCAAGACTGTGATGCACACTCCCTCATTAAAGAGGAAATGTCCCATACGGTTTCAGATCTCACTTGAGAGCATTCAGGTCATGGGGATGTTTTATGTGTTTCCAAGACCTACTGTATTGCAAGCTTGAGGTGTCAAATGTTTGAGGTTAAGGTTAAACTTCAAAGCAAAGCTGACAATCCCAGTTTTACTCTCCCAACAGGCATTTCAATCAGAAAACCCCACCTGGGAAGCTCTCTGTAGTTTGAAAATAGCCTTGGAGAAGGGCCGTTTTGGGCAGGGCCAGAGAGGGGTGACAGGGCAGAGGCGTTTGCTGGATGCTGGCCAATGTCATGCAAGTTTTAAGAGAAGAAGCCGCCATATGCAAGCCACGTGTTAAAGAAAAAACACTTGTTGCAAAATGGAAATCACCAAATGAATCGATGAGTCTATCACATTTCACTGCAGCTCTGCACCTACCTGGGACTGTGGCAGGGGCTAAGAAAAAAAACAGGCTAGGAGGATGAAAACTGATTCAAGCCAAAGGACTGGAGATCATACTGCAGAAGGGCAAGCTGTCAAGTCAGTCCCATCAAGTTATTGTGAATGAGTGATCCAAACTCCCGATCCGGCCATTTCTGAAAAGACTACAGCAGCTTCGGGATACCGTGCCCAGGCAGCCTGCTTCAGTCTCCCGACACTCACTCCTGTTTCTGTGCCAATTTAGCTCCCTCTTAAAAAGCACCATGGAGGGTTTTTTCATGTACCCAAATCCCAGCACTGGAGTCCTTTAATTCCAGCAGACAAGATATCTACTCCCTCAGCACACAGATCTTAAACAGCGCATTGCCCTATGTCCTGATGTGTAGACGCATCCCTGTATCGGGCACCAGGATGAAGTAATAAAGTAATAATGTACTGGATACTGTCACTGCTATTGGACCTTTCTGCAGTGCAGCCAGTGTTGAGATCGCCAAGGAACAAAGAGCCCTGCTGCCCTCCTCCCCAAAACCACACCAGTAAAATAACCAGGATACACTGTTAACAGTTGGAGGGGGAAGATTTTCATACCCAGCCAAAAAACAAAGGCAGTCTGGGACAAAGTCCAGTTCTGTAAAACAACAATAAATGAATTTCTTCTTGGTGAGGTACACCAAAGTAAAAGAATGGCACACTGTAATAAGGAGCAGTCGGCTCATAGTCAAGATGGGACGTAAGCTATAGACAAACTGCAGAAACAAATGACAAGGCAATGTAAAGGCAGAAGCAGAGAAAAAACAAAGGGAAAGTCTTAAGAATACTGAGCACTGACCATGGCTAATGTTCACGAGGCATGCACAAGCACATAAGCCTTTGCATGTCTCTAATCCAGCATTACTGAGACTTTGCAATTTCAATAGTACTCTAAATGATTGGTGATACTGACTATACTGTTAATTTGTGTTGGCAAATAAAAACACGGAAATGGCCAAAATGCAAATCATTCAGTGTAACGCATGTGCCTATCTTTAAAACTGAATTACATCATTGTCATTAGAAAGATGTAGAAACACTCAACAGACTACAAACGTGCAAATAAACACCTAATTTCGACCACGTTTTTAGACGAGACAGAGATACAGTACATAACGCTCAATTGACAGAGGAGGGCTGAAGAAAGGAGACAGAATTATTGCTCTTTTAAAAGTGTGAAATGCCTGCTGCACCCAGAGCAATCTGGCAAAGCGAGCTCATTCCGCTCAGAATAGTCCCCGAGACCACAGCACAGAAAACGCCAACGGCCACTGGACCTATTAAATCTCTGTGCACTTTCTCGCCAGAAATGGGAATACCTCACCAGCCCATGCCACGCTGCTGTATCAGGGTATCAGAGACCCATTGAACCCTCTCACTGCGAGGAAAGGACGAGATGCAGACAAGGCACAGGCCAGCGGCCAGAATCCCTGATAAGAAAGCTGGCGGAAGCAGAGATTGCAAAATGCAAATATTCTGGTACGTTTTATGTAAACAGGCACCAAGATTAGAAGAAACCAAACAAGGCTTTTCAAAGGAGTCGTTTCCGTAATGGAAAGTGTGAAAACTTTTTTACTTTTTAAAAGTATCCATAACTGGAAACCCATCTAAGATTTAGGACTCTAGTTATGGCCTACGGCAGAATGTGGTTCGTAAGAGTAAATCAGTAAGTACCTGCTTTGTTCCCAGACGCACCCTCTCTGTTTGCAATCCCTTTCCCATTCATAAACAGTGATAAAACAAAAGCAGCGCTGCTCCTTCTTCAGGGAACGTCAATCAAGGTCATCACGCCTGAACAATACCTGAAGGATCAATAGACTGAGATGCTGGCAAAAGAGTGTTTTGATGAGGGGAAAAAGAAATACAGCTGTGGGTGATCACAGCTGTTTTCACCCCCCACCCCTGTCAGGACACGGTTTGAAAGGACAAGGACTGAGCACTGGATGCAGAACTGTGGGGAATAAAATCAAGGTTTTTAAAAGGGCAGTAATAATGAACAAGTGAGACCCAAGAGCAAGTGACACTGTTCGAAAATGTGGTTATGCTTTTCATGTTTGAAACTAACTGACCGCTTGTGGCCAAACTCTCCACCCAGGATCCAACCAAATTCACTGCTCAGCGAGAGGCTGTGTTTGCTTTTGCCTTGTTGCTAGTTCTAGTTCTGATTTAGGCCACGTCAAACATCTGGTCTGTTCCAGGCTGGAGACAGATCGCAAACACAATTTCCTACAGCGGTACGTTTTTAAGAAACGAAGGGAAAATGACAAACGCTGTCCCTTCGTTAGGTTTACAAAGCAGGGAGGCGCTGTAATTTGGGGGCGCGATGAAGATCACCTCTAAACTGATTTTGTGGGTGTCTGCTGTGCCTCTGCTTCTGCTCGGTCACACACTCTGGAGACTCCCTTGACTAACTGATAACTGATAACTGACTAATGATAGCCAGAGAGCAAAGCCTCCTTCAGCTGACTTCACCCTTGTAAACAGCAGTCAAGGACAACAAGGTGTGTGTTATCACTGAAGAAGGGAGAGACTGATCACAGAGCCACGCATTAAATTCCCATTTCAAGCTCCAGTGAATAAAGAATATGATGTACTGTTTCCAATGGGAGAGTAAGTAAAAGTTGTTGTTTTTTAAATCATCTGTACTCTATACTGGAAGCATTAGTATCTTGTTATGGGACTCAAGCCTTTCTGTGCTTGTTTCCTTTTTCTTGTATTTTCTCCTCATTTTGCAAACCACGAACAGGTGAGGGATTCACTTCACACCCAGATACAATGTTAGCTTACACACAGACTTCTCGAAAGCAAATCCACTGTCACATTCTGGAGCAGACGTCTGCATTCTCCCTGCTAGAGCCGTCTGGCCTTCTCTGATTTGCACACAGAAATGCCATATTGATTTTTCTTCTGCATGCAGATCAACGCAAGGACAATGAGACAACGCAGAGACCACCACAATCACTTAAGTAACCACTGGGTGCTTTACAACTTGTTTTTGTACTGTAGTGTATGGTAATTGTACACTCTGTAAAATCCATAGTAAATGTTTTACAAACTCTGTACATTAAATACAGTGTTTTTACTGTTGTCTCAGTGAGGCCTAACAAACATTTCCACTGTATGTGGACAATAAAGTAGACTGATTCCTATTCTTAAAAGGGAAAAAGAATGACAGCCGCTGATTTCGAGCTACTAGGTATTGCAGGTATTTTGTATAAAGTATAATGAGAATAAAATCAGTTTAAGACAATGGCTCTGTCAAACACACCTGAATAAATACTGTAGGAACAACAGTTCCCCTTTCTCCTTTAACCACGGAACTGGTCACTTGGTCAGGCCGCCCACTGTACCTCCTGTGCTCCTCCTGGTACGTTTGCATGGATCTACAAGTTTATTTTCCCTGAAGTGTCACGGGCCATTAAAGATCGGTTTCATTTCCAGCTGTAGCTCCGGGCAAACTATTACTGCCTGTTTATGGAAAGTTCCCTTAATGGAAGACTACCATTGAAGAGCTGGGCACAAGCCATTAGGTTTCTGGGTCCTTTGGAGGAAATTAAACAAATTTGTCGAGATACTTAAAACTGTTCTTGAAAACATGCATTTTCCTAGGAAAAAGGAAACTGCTTTGTAAACCTCTGCAACTTTACCTGAAAAGCACGCCATTGAACCCTCTAACCATCTCTGCTAAAAACCTCCATCAATTACATACACACTGCATGCATCTGCAAACACTGACACTTACTCCTTTTTCCTTCTGCACAACTTAAAGAAACGTCTGAGGTCATTAGGATTGATAACAGGTTAGGCTGTTTTCTCCTACTAATCACAATATTGTCTGACAGTCTAAATTGCCCTCTTTGAATAAACAGTAATTGGGGCTTTAAAACAAAAAAACAAACAAACAAACAAACAAACAAAAGTCCACAAGCCCCAAAGAGGAAGATTTCCTTTCTTTCTTTCAAACCACCTTTTTGCTTCATATCTGCAACTCTTCCGAGTCTGACTAACTTTACATGCCCAAGCGCACTGAGAGAAACGTCTCCTAGCTGACCTGCCAACATGTTTCATTCCGAGAAATCAATTAGGAGCAGGAGACCTGAGGATTTATTTCCACTTCACCCCGCACCCCACAAGGATCTAGATGTATGTTTTGTACAGTACATCAGGGAGCAGATGGCACTCACACTAGTGACTTTGCGGTAGATCTGGGCAGCGTTCTGGCACTCGGAGTAAGGGTACTCCGAGGTGGTCATTTCCAGGATGCACATCCCGAAGGCATAGACGTCCACAGCTTCATCGTACTTCTCCTCGTACATCTCTGGGGCCATAAATTCTGGAGTCCCTGAAGGGCATTGCAAGGACATTCCTTAGTCACCTCTCTCCAAACTTTACTGATCGGACAGCCAGGAACAGCCAACACGATCTAAATGTTCGCATAAGACACCATCAAAAATGAAAGAAGCTTTATGTCATAACAAGAATGTCGAAAACACTCTGGGCCCTTCTCATAAAGTCATTCTCTGTGTCCTGTGTGAGCTTAGAAGGAAGCAATTCAGATGTTAAAAATCAAAAAACGAAAAGATTTAAACTTCCTCCGATGGACTCTGCAATTGGCATTTCGAAAGATTTATATTGATATTTGTTATATTCTTTAATACTGTCTTGTTTCTAATCGGCAATGGAGACAATATAAGACAAATGCTTTATGAATACCGCCTTTAAGAGCTCTACCAAGTTATGTTTCTGCCTGCTGGAACGACGTGCTACAGTTAAAAATAGCTCATGCGCTCGAGAGCAACAGAATGTCATTTATGCTGCTTAAGGGCACAGTGTCGACATTTAAAAAACACTGGGTTCTGCCTTTTCTTCGTAAAATGCAAAGAAAAACGTTAAAAGAACTTCGAGACGTCTCACAATACAGCCGCTGGATGCCTACCGATGACGCTCTTGGCGAAGGATGCGCTCTTGAGTGTGGCCAGCCCCAGGTCCCCGATCTTGACCGAGCCCGTGGGGCCGGTGATGAAGATGTTGTCGCACTTGAGGTCGCGGTGGATGATGGGAGGCGTGCGCGTGTGGAGGAAGTGGAGCCCCTTGAGAATCTGTTGGCTCCAGCGCTGGAGCAACTTCAGCTTCATCTCCTTGAACCTCTTCAGATAGCTGCAGACACGGAAGCACCTGGCTCAGGCTGGCACACAGAACCACGGGCTCACTCGCTCAGAGCCGGGGCCTCGCTCATTCGGAAGTAATGAAACAGAATCATTAAGAAGGAATATGACAGAATAAGCACAGGGACGTAGAGATACGCTCTCTAAAACATCTTTTTCTAGACGCCCAGGATCGGAGTGATAATGAACTGTGCCGGCCTGTTTGCAGACTCACGTTTTGAGGGTGCCTGAGGTCATCAGCTCGGTGACCAGGATGATGCACTTGTGGCCCTTGACAGTGGACTTCCAGGAGTCGTAGAAGCGCACGATGTTGGGGTGTTGCAGGCCCTTCAGCATCTCCACCTCCTCGCTGAAGCGCTGCCGCTCCGCCTTGGTCAGCTTCCGGGTCTGCGGGGACGGGGGGGGAAACGGGGGACAGCAGGTCAGCACCGCGCTCCGGCTCTGCGTGACCGGGATAGCGAAAATCCCATCGAGGTCACGTCCAGGGAACACTCGCAGCTCGTCAGCCCAGGGCAAACACAACCGTCACCTCGCCAGAGCAGTCACACAGCCCACTGGAACAACACCGATGTACGCGCCTAGCGTACGCACGAGCCAATAATTTCACAGGGACTCTCAGAGACATGGCAGGTCAACCAGCACTGCAAGTCTTGTCATTACATTGCACAATGTGGAGTCTAGGACAAGTTATGTGCGGTCTAGGGAACTCAAACCTGTTTCATAAAAGCAATAAGGCACTCAAAGGTATAGAAGACTGTCACTGTTTTGGCTGTCTGCTCCAACAAAACCGGGCGACAGCTCCGAGCCCCGGAGTGCCTTTTTCCTTAATGATTCTAGAGGCTGCTTCTTCAGCGGGGACACTTGAAAAGGAGCCGGCATGTAAACACCACGAATTGTCAACCCCCGAGGGAGAGGACGAACATCCCGAGACAGGCCTTGAAGCGTCAGTGAAAGTCTTGTTTTGCGGCAGAGAAAAGGAAGTTAACCGAAAATTGAAATCAGGAAGGCAAAGCGCACACCTTTTTATTGTCGTTTTGAATCCCAGGTCTGACGTTCTGTTGATGGCGCGAAGTCACAGCGAAGTTTTATTTATTTTTTTCTGTGTGTAGGGGCACCATTACCTGCCTAAAGTCTGAGAAGTGTAAACCTTGAATTGAACATTGCTACCGTGGAGAAAAGAAAAACATGGATCTTTAAAAAAAAACACTGGATGAGGTCTCATACAAACAGTCTTGCGGCGCTGTGAATGGGGCTCAATGTTTCTGGCACAGGTCCTCCATTGATCAAGTCTTGCTACAGCCCTCTGTCCCTAAGCGCACACTGGGTAACCTCTCAGTCACCCTGACCTGCTGCAAGCCAAGCAGTGGTGAGAGATGGAACTCTCACGCTCAATGTGCGATATCCACAGCTCAGGAGATATAACACAACATTACCATCTTAACTCTTTGACAAGGTTCTTAATGAAAATTAATCTACAAATTCATAAAAAAGGATCCCCCCTCAATTTGTAAAACTGTCACTGGGTATTTACTGGCTTTGCAGAGCAGTCAGAGAGGGGAAAAAGCAGACTGAGGTCAGTTTGGCAGATCAGAGTTACTGTTTATCTTAAAACACCTCATTGAGGAAGGAGGAGAATTAGACGGAAGAACTAAATAATCCCCAGCCTTCGATAAAAAAACTGCAGCAGCACAAGTACAGATGTGTGTTGGAAAGCTGTATTTCCCTTGTCTCAGGGGTCTTTTAAAACACACGTAATACAGATGAGCTATAATCCAATGAAATAAGATCCCTGCTTCAGGCTGGCCATTCAGGACTTCCACACATGCAAATCTTCAACATACTGAGGTGCACCAAAGGATTTAGGATAGTTCCTGACTTTATTATTGCTGGTTCAAACAAAAAAACAGGTTTACAGGAAGCAGAACAACCTGTAGCTCCATCAGGCTAACTTAACATTTAACTAATCTTAAATGCCTATATCCCATATACTGTACATGCTGCTTCCTTTTCACTGTTTCCTGCTTTTTAAAACACAACAGTCCAACAGACCCTAAAAAGATTCAAAGACTAGCAATTATCACCTTCCAACCTCTCTGGCCTGCAGATTTGTTCCTAACTTAACACTAACAACCAAGTGATGCACATACACACCTCATATAGTGTACAAACGCAATGTGAACATTCTGATGTACCAACCAATTAGGATCCACTCATTACAGTTTACAAAACACTCTTTGACAAAGCTGGGTCCACCCCTGTGGACTGCACCGCCGTTGGGATTGGGACCCACTTCTGTCAGGAAAGAGTCAAAGACGCTCTATAATTGGAAAGAAAAACATGGGAATCGGTCATCGAATACTCGCTAAGCCCGTTTCATGTCACGCCACTGAGTCGACAGAAGCAGTCCAGCACCGCTTTCAAAACCTGTCTTGAAAAGGCCCCACCTTTGATGTCTGCATCTTTGATGTCTTCTTTCTGCAGTCTGCAGGTTTAAAGCTGGCTGTCGGAATGCTCTACCTTAATGTCTCTGGAAGGAAGCTTTCCTTTGGCTGTCTGCGAGCTGCAGACACATTACAGAAACATGCAGGGGGGCCAGGCAGGTAAAGATTTCGACTACCAGCCAACACAAAGTCACTCCTCACACTGCTTCTGTAAAAAGTAAGAAAGCCTCCATCTCAATCTGCAACAGAGCGAACACTGCAGTGGAGCTGTACGTTGCAGAATGCACAGCTACAGTACTAACCACCATGTAGAGCATCCCTGTGCACGAAGGGGACTCAATAAGCTGATTGGCCTGTTCTGACGACAGCACCATGAGAAATGGCATCTGTACGCAGGGAGGACAAGTAGACACCAACGATACACAGGTGGGTTAACATTAAGAATGCACTGAATAGGCAATTATCTCTATAAGCACCCTATATGTGTGTGTGTATCGACATCAATGTGAGGACAAAATGCGAGAAAACAAAATGATGAATAAAAACAGAATGAGACAATGGGGAGTTCCCACAAAGACAGGGATACAAATGTGTGTTTGTGTGAATATCATCATCAAACAGCAAAACGAGGCCGTTTCTACACCTGATACCTGATGACAGTTTTCTACTGATTGAACCCCTGGAGCTTCTGGCAAACAAGGCCCTCGGTGATCTGCAATCTGAATTCCTTGAGTGGGGGACACTGAGGATTTTGTTCTTGTCTGGACTCTCAGGACGCAGCCCTTATCATCCAGGGGCTGTTTTTTTTAAAGAACCAAGGAGTAATTTCTCTTGCTGTCAAGGTCAGTTACAATGAGCAATTACAGTCACAAAGTCCTAGTAACAGGACTAATAAAGACTAATGCTTTTTATAAAGCTGTTGATAAAGGCATCTGCTCCGACAATAGGCTGCCACACATCTACTGTAATAGGCTTTCCTGCGAAGAGGGATTTTCGTCGATTGGTGGAATTTAAAATGGCTTTGATGCTTCGTCTACCTCTGTATGAAAAATAGCTGAAGTAATACAGTTTGGAGCTTATTCTACAGCACCAACAACAAGTATTTCTCCTGTCAGTAGTGTAACTACCAGTAATTATTCTTGGTTTACTTGGGTTACTTATAAAAGCCTTGACTCTATCTGTAATTGTCATTTTCCTATCTAGCCCACTGCTCCTTTGCCTGACTGACAATGCAAAATCTATTTTTATTGTGTCGAGCTGGGTACACACACAGAGATCAAAGTTCTGGCCATCCTGATATGGCCTTTCTGTAGTTTCTTCAGCAGGTTAAAGAATTAACAGACATTGTAAACGGCATGTCAGCACTGCAGCTTCACAGCTGCAGGATGGCAGCCTTGGGGGTCTGTCTGTGTGGAGTTTGCATGGTGCAGCCTCTCCACTTTCTCTCACCTGAGACATGCTGGCTAGGCTCCACTGGCTGTTGTCCCAACCGGGGGGACAGCAGTGGTCTGTTCGCAGTTGGGCTTTGTGCCCCCTTTACCTGGGACAGGCCCCTGCTTGCTGCGTCTCTGACCAGACAACAGACCGGTGGACGTAAAGTACTCATTGAAATGGCCAGAACACTATTACCTTGGTGGAATTGTATGTTTTTCCAAAATTGGCCAATCTAGCGTTTCACCACTGTCATATGTACATGACATACACCTTAGTTTATCCCGAGAACAGCAGCAACACCTGATTAATCCACTCACACATGTTTTCACATTGTCATCACAATGTGGTTCGAAAAGCATGAACGGGGCAGGTTTGAGTGGGAGTCTCACAGCCGGGTGAAGGGTCAGCCAGAGGCTTTTTAAGTGATGTTTTTGATGATTCCATGTTGCCATGGCTGCCAGCTCACCTTTCATTTTGTCCTTTTCAAACATGATGGCTTTCACAAGGATTTAGCACAAATCCCTTGTGCCGTTTTGTTTCGGCACCCTTTCATTTCTGAAAGCTCCACCTGCGAGACTCCATTTGCCACAGGGCTCGGAGCGATGCAATAAAGCCGATTTCTATTGCACAGCCTAGAGGTAAGACAGCGTGCACAAATAAATGAAATTCACAAAACTGTGATCCTGGTTAAGGGCAAGAAACATAGAAGACTGCCTCCGGTGTTACTAGAGAAAAGATTCTGCAGATAAAACAAGGAAGACACCCTCATCTTTTCAGGTTGGGATCAGCTGATGCTGCACCTTGGAGGTTAGTGGAGCCCTGATTAGAGTCAATCTGACATTTAGAAGGACAGACTGACAGTTGGGCCTGAGGAGAGAGGGAAATGAGGGTTCCAACAGATAAAACATTTCTAAGAAAAGATAATAAAATCAGGATTGCCCTTTCTGCACACGCCTGTATGCAGACTGTTCAAAAATCTGTCTAAATCCAAAACAATGAAAAACGTTGTCCAAATTCAGGAAATACAAGTACTGTCACCGGCGCCTTTAAAGCAAGCTTAAATATAGCTCGCTGAAGATATTGAAGAAAGATGCTGTGCCATGACGTGGCTCAGGCACGACGCTGAGTACTGTAAATAACATTATGAGTGCTTTCAATGAACTGCACTTATATCAGACATCAGACGAGGGCAAATCTGAAATCACAAAAAACCTGAACAAAGTGCTTCACGGGAGGGCATGCTTAAATAAAATACATCACTCATTAGATAGCTAGATAAGACTTTATTGATCCCGTAGGGAAATTGATGTTAATTAATTAATTTAATTTAATTAAATTTTAGCTTGTTGAGAACACAAAGCAGAATATGATATCACCACTTAATGTCTTAGGATTCTGGTGCTAAAGTATGTCCCTGTTGATAAAACAGCCTCGTCCACCCATTAATATCAAACCAGGATCCACAACTGCTTTGCAGAGTCTGTAGTGACCATCACACTGAGGGGCCACCAT